TGTGTGTGTGTGTGTGTGTATGTATGTGTGTGTGTGCGTGTGCGTGTGCGTGTGTTTCGTGTAAGAATGATAGTTTTTTAAGTAGATTTATTCTTTTTCTTTCTGAATTTTTTGAAAGTTTTGTTTTTACTTTTTTTTCTGTGTGGAGTTTCTATGTAAATGTGAATGATTGTGTTTATATGTTTTTGAAAAATAAAATAAATGAAAAAAAAGAAGAATAAATATGCATGTAAAGCGTTTTTAAGATTAATCTATTGATTAATAGAAGATATGTATAATTTGAAAGATAAACGCAAAACCTTATAAGATACCATTAAATATGTATCTGATTAAATCAAAGGTCAGTGTGATTTGTTTAAATTGTTTACACCCATGCCACTATCTTTTATAATTAATCTAAATTAAGAAATAAACAGAAATTTGATTTTTTTTCTCCGCAAAAAGTTTTTATAGCTTGTTGATTAATCGACAAAAATGCTTGTACATTGCTTTTGTAAATATTGTCTGTAAAGACAAAAAAGCACAACATTAAATGCGTTCCAGAATAAAAAAAAAGGAAATTCCAGATATCCTGTTTCCGGGGGTCGACCTAAAGGAACTTTTTCAGCAACAAATTTACATGCAGAAAGAGATAGTAGAGAGAGATAGAGAGTGTGTTGGCTGACATAGGGGAATAATTCCCCTATCTTTTAAACATTAGACGAAACGCATTCAACCTGTCCGTTTTGCGGATAATATTCCTCTATCTTTATGTATGGGTTCATTTTCTAAGGATAATGTTGGTAATCGTTGTTCGGAGATACATGATGAATATACATAGAAGGATATGTCTTTTACTTCATTGTTCGCAAACGGGCTAATACTGTTTAATAAAATGAATATACAAAATACATTTTTCTCTACATTTCTTATGCGTTTGTATGATCTTTGCTTATAGTTGTTATTTATGTAGAAAACAATGTTTTCATGATATATGATTTACCCCCGTCTTAACCCATTACCCGATATACACGCCTTTTGACGCCTTCTTCACCCCCCACCCTTTTGTTGTCTCAAATGGTGAAAAAATGCCTCTTTAGGACCCCAACACTTGTTTTTGTTTGAGAAATGTTGTTTAAAAAAGTGACCACTTTTTTAGGCGCGGCCCCCAACCAAAAGATACATCAGGGGTTGCCAGAAGGGGGATGTGCCCCCTTCTGTTTGGGGGGTTTGAAGGGGCAGGAGCCCCCATCATCGCCAAGAAAATTTTGGACTTGTGAGAGGCTAAAAATGACCCCAGATCGATCATAAGGTAACGTGTAACCAACGCTGACAAGCATTTGACTCTATCTCAATCCATTGAGAAGTTGCAGCACTTTGAAATCAATTTTGATGGGAAAAAGTTTATAGTTTTACAGTTTTATAGCAATTTGAACTTGTAACGGGAGACTTTTCAATGAAAACAGCCATTTTTCACCAAATGCTCATGAAGTAATGGGTTAATAAAGATGATATGCTTAATGACAAAATGGAGGGGGATAAAATAACACAAACATTTGTTTTTGTGACAATTCGTTAGTTTATTTAACATAATTATTCCATCATACTTCATATTGTTTTAATGATTATATGAAGTAAATGAACAACAAAAAGGAAATAAAAATATTTTATTAAAAGTCTATTTATAACTGATACTAATACATAAGCTAGTATTACCTTTTTTCAATTTTATTTACAATAACACTCAGTTTGTATAGTTTACAAAAAAAACATAATTATCATTGCGAACACACTATCTGTTTATACAAATTAATCCATTTACCGACAATGTAATCATTATTTATTTACATTTACTTCACAGTTCATATATATATATATAATAAACCCACAAATATTTTCTAATGACTTTTAAGATGTATGTTTTTTTCTTCATGAAATATAAACAATGACACATTTAGAAGGAAAAAAACTAGGGGTAACATTTCTTGAACAAACAAACCAGTCATATTATAAGATAAAATATAAAATAAAAGTTTGTAATATATTACCACAAAGGTTATCGCGGTAGTTCTAACCACTTTACAAAAAAAAAAATTCAAAAATAGATACCTGAGGAAAAACATTTTATGAGGAAATATCTTTAAATGTAATAACATAATATTAATAACCAGTTTCAAGATATTTAATGAAATATTTGGAATACTTCAGCTTTAATTCAATTAAAGATTGAATGTTACGATGTAATGTATATTTTCAGTGTTTTCTGCTTATTGATATACAATACATTGCTGAAACTATCCTAACAAATATAGCTTTTATAGAAAGTTTGTGCAATAAAGAGCAAATAAGAGAAGCGAATGACGTCAGAAAAATTAAGCTTAATATCCCAACATTGTTTCCAAGCTACCTACACAAAACATGCCTCAAAACTTTCATTACATTTGCATACTAGCTTTAATATGAGATTTAGCTTTTAATAACAACTCATGTGTTGTTATATTTCTGGTACTTTTGGACCAATTATTCAATGATGATTAAAGTTGAATATCTAATTGTTTGTATATTGCTTAACACGACTGCAAAATTGTTGTGTCATATTTAGCTGTTTAGCACGAACAGACCTGATCGTCCGTTCCTACAATGTAGACCATAATCATCGGTACGTTTATCTTGCGATAAATTAAATAAAAACTGTTATATTTTAATTATTTGCATGTTCAAATCTTACTAAATTATAATGCATATTTAAAACTGAATGTAGCCAAATTGATTTTCTTTAAGTTACCGAGTACACTCTGAAAATCTTAAATACACTTATCTTACACTTATCTTACACTTATCTTTTAACGTGAACTAACCAATGCATCATTTTAGGAATTTTTAATGACAGAATAGTGTCTAGTGCAGACTATGATCAGAAAGAAAGGATGGTCTTGGTCTGCATTTTTTCCATGGGTAGATTCATATACCGCTAGCAGAAAAAGGAAAGATAAAAAGGAAAATGGTAGTGCTTTAAAGTGCTTAAAATTTGCATTGTCCCTGTAAAGGTTATGTTGGCTTTTGTAAAGCATATGTTGACCTATGTAAAGCATAGATTAGCTGATGTGGAATCATGTTGACTTATGTAAAACATAGATTGGCTTAGCGGTAAATGTTGAAGATTGAATACCACCTGAGCCTGTGTTAGGAGCCGTGAGAGATGTTGTACTTCTACATTATACATCATGAACATAAAAATCAAAGGAATATGCAAGTCATATATAATATTATTGTTTTCATCACTTCCACCCTTTTTCCAGATTTTTTTATTAATTGCAATTAAAATTAATAAAATTGATCTTTGTTATAACTTTATGAATGTTATGAATGTTGGTATACTCTACAATACATACATCTTCCAATTGCTGAGAGTATCATTTCTTACCTTAAATAAATTGCTTACTATACTAATTCAAAGAATGATTTCATTTACGAGTGAGAATCTATCTAGGAAATATTTTGCCTTCAGCAAATGTATAATTATACGTATTGTATGCAAATCTGTTCTAGTAACAGTTGAATAATCCACAGTAAATCATACTAGTATTATTCAGATAGAACACAAGTTGTATTGAAATTATAAGCGAATCGAACTAAATTAATGTTATTGTTGCGTTCATACACTAGTTATAACGGATATTGAACTCTGTGTTACAGTTTTGAATTTATAGGTCATTTGGAAACATTGTTGCTACAGGCGTTATTACAATATGAAAAATGAGATCTACAAGGAAGGGCGGTGTTCAATGAACGCTGCGATAAACGTCTGAACATATGTTCTTTACAACTGTTTATATTAAAATATCAATGTTTTTTATTGAACTAAGAGATAATGTTTTCTTAATATTATAAGAATTTAAATGGTTTTATAAGTTGAATATAGATATTTAAAGAAAATAAGTATAACAAAATTTAACTAAAATAGAAAATGGCTTTTATGAAGTAGACAAGCTTTAATTTTCATTTATTCGCAGACTTGACATATGCTCGTTATCTAAGGTTAAAATAAGTCTATTATTTTTTGTAGGACGCATTCCTTGAATATTCTCCTGCATTTATTTGAATAATAGTTCAGAATAAACTAGGCAAACAAATCACATAAACGTGCTTACCTTAGTATTGTCGAGTGCTCTTCTAAAAAGATCGAGATGAATTATGTTATTAGTAGAAAGGTGTTTATTTAGTTTGAAATATGTTTTACAAAATGTTTGTTCATTTCTTTGTTTATTTTTCTGGTTTTAACGCCGATTTTAACACATTTTTGGTCATATATCGACGGTCAATCAACCCACCTAACAGGTGTTCCTGGACAACTAACTAATCATTACCAGTTTCACCACAAGAGACAAACCATTAATCTCACATGATTTCTAAATGGTGACAGACAAATGACCATTAGACTCGATGTCCGAGATCAATTAACGTTACACTCATGGTTCGAACCAGCGACGCCTGGTTTACTATTTCTCGGCATGATACATTAGAAGTATTGAACAGTTGTGAGTGTTATTTCTGATTCTGAGCTTTTAGTTCTTTTTATAACTCTGTCAACGGCAACTAAACTAACCCATGCTTGCAGTGCAGACCAAGATCCGTCGGCACGGACAAAATCATGTTCTGCACTGTTCACTATTCAGTCAGTATTCATTTTAAAGTTTCTTTTCAGTCAGTATCTATTTTAAATTTTCCTAAATAATATGAATGCTTCCTTAAAAATATGAATGCTTTTTTCCCCGATTAACAAATGGATACGTTCATAAACGATTTTAAGCACGGTAAGAGGTAAATATTATTTTTCTTCGTTCATTGAATGCCGCCCTCCTTTGTTATATTGTAACCAAAACGAAACCATTGTTTATCTCTGATACTTAATCTTCGGATCCGGGGGTTGTCGGTTTCTTTAGTAATCAGTACAATCAATGTTGAATCATCTTTTTTTCTTCCTTTTGCCTACATTGTATTTTAAACAATGAGAAGAGCATAAATCATCACTTGTGAAACTGGTGTATCAGGAAGTTATAGAGGAAGGGTGTAGAGGAAGCCTCTATATATTAAACAGTCTTCATCTATGTTCATACTACTGTTTAATATTTTGATAGTATTTAGATTTTGACAACATGCAGATTGAAATTGTGACAACAGCATGTTCACAAGCGGAATCACAATGTGTGTATACGATGGAAAATGTGATAGACAAAATGGCAAGATTAGGATTGAAGCTTGAAACTATAGAGAAAAGACTGGAGAAAATTGAATCTCGGCAAGACGCATTGAGCACGGGTACTTATTTTATTTCATTTTCTTGGTTTACGGGTGCACTTCTAATGAAGTTGTAATACGAATGTGTTAAATTAACAACAAATACTTTAACTTTGATATACCTTTAGCAAGAGCATTCAGATCAGTGAGACGTTTAATATACAGATTATTGAGATAGCATGCGCTGCTGAATCTTTTCTAAAAGAATACAAACGTCAATCTAATCACGACACTAATATTGACCTGATTTGCTTCCTTTCGAATCATGATATCCATGTTTTCGATTTATGTACACATCTACTTGCTATTGTTTTGGAGGAACCTTATCCTTACCATAATATGAGAGAAATGGCCGGAAATGTATATTCATAGTCTTATTGTAGGACAAGAAAAATAACTTTTATTCAACATTTTTCAGACATTCTTGATGCATTGAGAACACCAAAGGTTGTTTTTCGAATCCAGCTGAGCAAGAACCTTGGTACTGTTACCACAGGCACAGTAATAAAATTCGACCAAGTTGACCTTAACCTAGGAAACGCATATAATGACGGCTTCTTCACGGCCCCTTATAAAGGGACATACATATTTTCAATGGTTCTCGGGAATCCAAGCGGAAAACCAGGAACTTTCTTTATGAGAAAGAATGGTGTTAGAATAGAATATGCTATAGCAGGGCATACAACTGGATGGAATATTGGTGGCGTTTCGACAGTTGCCTTCTTGGATGTAGGTGACCGTGTATGGGTTACTGGAGAAGGTCATGTATCAGGGGCTTATGCTGATTCGAGATATCACACTGGCTTTTCTGGCATGCTTGTAAACTCCTACTAAATGAATTTCTACGCAAATTATTATAAGAAATAAAAAAGGAACATTCCGAAATTACACTTAGTAGTACATCTAAAATAATTTATCAAGATTTCTTTGTTAATCGTATGCGGTGCTTGAACCAGTTAGTATACACATGCCTAACATTGCAAAAAAAGAATTATAATAAACCATATTAGTAAGTACAATTTAGACTTTGTATTGGATGTAACATTGTTTCGTTGTTGCTGTTGTTTTATAAAAGATACGCATACATATATAGCATTTCCTGATACATGTATACATATACGTGCGTAAAGCATTTCCCGTGGATATAAATACATGTATGTATAGCATTTCCTGTTACACTGTATATGTTGTATCAGCTTGACTTTAATAGACTGTCATTGATGTTTTATCGGAGATTTTAATATGGCAATTTTATTCAAATTCAGGTTGACTGCTCTTAAAATAACATGAAAGAGTAAAAACTCAATTTCAAGGGCTGATGACTTAAAAACCCATTTTTTTCATTAATTTGTTTTAATCATAGTTCTCTTTAATCATGCAAAATAAAGTCGATTTTAACTGAGGTCGCTTTCTGAAGCTCTATTCCTAGATAATGATCAAAGAGAGACAAACTTTACCAAACGTAAATGATAAGTTCAGTAAAAGTTACTTCCCGTTGTCATTTAACATAAAGTCAATGAAAAAGTAAATACGTGACGATTGTTGCATGTGTGGCACTTTTACTTCCGTCATTTATTTTACAGAAAATATTAACCGTTAAGTTTCTTAAGATAATATCTTCATATTTATGGTCTCGTGAGTGTATAGTTTCGTCATAATCAGCGGTATCTATCATGTCGTCTGGATATATCTTCCTCCGGTTCCGGTCTTCTCGTCGTTGTCTTGAATTGTTTTCACGAGTTCCTGAGTTCGTCCAGGATCCTACAAATAAAAGAATAAGGTGTAATGTAATGCTAACTAGTAACATGTAAAAAAATGATTAACAAAATATAGATCCCAGCCAAGCAAAATGATTTGTGTTCATTTGTGATGATGCTATCAGACGAAATTTACAACAGTTTATTAGAAGTATTTTAATTCGAATTATGTTGGAAGCTATAAGCTTATTGATACACTGGAATCCGTTCCTGGAAGCAACCTGTTCTAAGCAATGCATGTTAAATTTCTTGCACAAGGCAACGACGGCTTCTCCATAACGGGGTTTGAACACACGAGGCCATCAATCCGTAGATTACTCCGGCGCGATAATCACTCCTTTACTTTGCAACAACATTTAGGAACCTCCTCTCTGTAAATATTGTTGTCTCAAGTGGTTATTTCTTTTTGAAGATAATTTCTTATGGATGAATGGATAATAAATATACAAGTAAATGATTCACATGTTTTAAACTAATTTACAAGATTTGAAAAATAAAGTTGTCATGGCTATTTATGATATAAATTAATCAATACGTGCCTATTTATCTTTCACTCTTTTTATACAGTTTTAAACAACTATCATAAATACCATTTTTGTTGTCAAACATTTCATCGCTGAATACTATTCTAAAGTATTTAAGTTATTTTATAAGAGATATGTCAATATATTTAGTCATGTTTCAACATTGATTTGCATTGTATGGCTTTGACAGTTCTTCTAACTTAATCATTGAAAAAGCCTAAGCAATATGAAAACGTCATAATTTATACTATAGCACGGGAATCGGTAAACCTTTTTATCCATTAAAAGCAATAAACGTTTATTGCTAAGGGAATATCCTGTACTCAACTACAAGCATGATTATCGACTACGCAGAACTTTATTTTCTAAGACCTTAATTACATGTGGCATTCACATACTAAATCGGTTACCATTTTTTCTAACAAAAGCAACATTTCACTGCACTATATTTTAAAATTAATCGACTTAAAACGCAATTGTTTTTGATGTCTTCACTTACTCCTGGATAAAACTTGTTATTTACAGAGTATACACAGCAAACTCTTTAAAATGTGAAGTGTGTTTTTCGTTATGATTTGATTATTGTTACATGTATTTTCATTATTTGATTATTTATTTCCATGGTAAAATCTCTTGGAAAATTTGTATGGTAGATCTTTTAGTAATTATCTAAAACACATTGTCATTGATACCAGTCATTCACGATACCTTGAAACAACAAAACACAAATAACAAAGACGAAAAGTCGAAATAACGAATCCGCGATAGTGGAAGGTCGGAAATATAATGACTAAAAATAGGTAGTACGATCGTGAAAAGTCGAAATAACAAAACAACGAAACCACATTGGTAAATGGTGGAAAATACGATTGTGAAAACACAAAATAATATCGAGTTTTCATCATATTCCGACAATGTGTGTTTGTAGTGACAAGATTTTTCAATAATTTTCATGAAGGATTCCTGAATGGAAAAACAGACGATTTTTCAGTAAAATAAATTCAATTAGTAAGAGTTGAAGGATTTTATTTTGTTAAAGAAGTTCTGAAATTCTGTCTGGCAATGCATTTAATGCATGTGATGCAGACTAACAAAGTCGTATTTTATAATATATTTTGTTTGTGACAAATTATCGTGTGTCGTTGAGTTATATTGTGCTGGAATTTGTGATCAATATTATTATAATTTGCAATATGTTTTGACAGCAGCCTGGTTTACATTAAATATGGTCATTTAACGATGCACTGATTCGGATTCAGTGGGCATTTTGTCTACAACCTCAAGATAGTGTGAATGAAATAGTTCTGATTATACTTACCGTGGATGCATGATTTGTACAAAAACTAATTTAAAGATTTGTTCACGGGAAATATCATTTTCCCAGGACATAAAAAAGGTTATTCCAATTAGTTTTAGCGCTTATGACTTATCTCTCTGACCTTTATAAACGATAACAATTTTAACATTTTATTTTGTCCAATTATGTATAATTAATGCTATTTACATATTTTGTGTTCTTCGTATGACGACATTTAATGTTGCATTACATGCTAATTAGTTTAGGGTCTGAGTTAAATCGGAAATAGTCCCTTCAAATGTATTATATTATTGTAATAATCATATTTAAATTCAAAATAGCTTGAAGGTGTGTCCGATGTTAGAGTTATGGGATGGCGTCGATCTGGTATCCTTAGGGATGATTTGATCCCAACATGCTCAGAAATTTCCAGATGGAATATAATTTTAATTAATCTGTTTTGGAAACATTGCAACAGATACAAAATGTAAACAGTCTCTGAGAAAATCACTGATAAAACACGAAAAAATACATTGAATGCATTAAAATATAATTTTACGCTAAACTTTGTACATTATTGAATATAAATATGGAATGGTGTGTGTATCCATTCGTCTTAAAGCTAAACAACTGTACAGACAATACAGTTTCTCGAAATCGCTTAGCCAATTTCTTCTCATTTCTTCAAAACTTTAATTAAGAACTCGTTTGCTAAGGTTTGGTTAAAATGGTCAATTAATTCCCAGTTAATTAGATTCGCTAGAGCTTGTAGCAACGTAAAGGATTTCAACGAGCGGAACATTTTTATTACCAGCAAGCTTCTAAAACAGGGCTACCGCTATCATAAATTACGGAAATATTTTACTAAATTTTACAATCGTAACTTTGATTTAATTTCCAAATTCAATAGTGATTTAAAAACTCTTCTGCGACAAGGGATTAGCCAGCCTGGTTTTTATGGCGATGTGATTTACAAACTTCGTAAGATTTTGGGTCATGGTAATTTTTCTGCTGTTTTTACTAAAATCATTAAACGTTTTATTAAAAGAGGTTATGACCCTACTATTTTAAGACATACTGCATGTTTAGTGTTCAACCCTTTTACAGTTGGACACTACGCTTTCCTCTTTTGATTGCATCTGACGGACCAAGTGGGAGACTCTATGATGGATAGTTCGTAAAGCCCTTTGGGACTGAATTGTCTTAATGTTCGTCTTCTGCCTTGCTTCGTCGGGCCCTTGTAGGTGATTTTCTTGTTGCTCTGTCTTCCTTTAGGACATTGAGTACTTTTGTTATGGTCATTGGGTTTACTTTTATATGTTTCTACATGATCATTTTAGTGTTTTACTTATTTAACCTTTTGTAACCATGACAACTGTTAGAATTTCACTTGGCGGGGATTCATTTTATTTACACTGTCTCGTTTATAGGAACATGGTGGGG